AGGCTGGGGATGGTTCTGTTTTAACTCTTCAAACAGCTCAGCAGTAGCATGGGGAGAGGGACACCACAGGATGCGTAACTTGGGGAAATGGAGTGTGAGAAGGGTTAGCTTAGAAGTGATATCATTACTGGAAATCTCCTGACATAGAGAGCCACGTGGAATCAAAGAGAAAGGTTTGTTAGGATCAAATTCAATCAGGAGAACTGGTCGCTTGTAGTAACGGGACATGGAAACGCACTGTGCATACAGCCTGCCATTATTCAAGGAACCAATCAGGTCACTGATACTTTTCCGCTCCACACAGGTATCAGGAGTTAAAATATAATCCCCAACTTCCAAAGTAACAGGCTCAATATCAATACCACGACGATGAATCAGCGATGGAAGCTCACTACGAAATTCCCGCATATCCACTATTATAGTTTGCTGAACACTCTTCTGTTCCTGGCCACCTAAAAAAGCAAAAGAAATACAGTTAACCCAAGGAGTTATGACTTCCAGCTCTGGTTGTGTAATCTTCCTGTGTGCTGCCAATGCTTCTGAAATGGATGGCCTTCACATCTCGAATTATACCTTGAATTCAGTAGTATAACAAAGCCAGACTTCACTTACTTTTTCACTGTTACAGAGGAAAATAACCACCAGATATTCTAAAATATGAGATACTCTAGTTTATGGAGTATGCTCTGCAGTGTAATAGAATTATCATGCTACCTCCTATGACGTCTGTATATGTGACAATGAAATATGTTAAACTGTGGATGAAAATTGTTTAAATGCATCAGGAAAATCTTTTAAAAGTTGCCTGCAAACAACGTAGCAAAGCTGATTCTTATTTCCAGCTGATTTCCACAGAAACATGGCATTTTATTGTAGAAATTATGCTTTAGCCTCTATAGATACGTAAAAGCATACATGAAGAGACTGCAGCATCAAGGCCAAAAAGACATAACAGCAAAGATTAGAGAGCATATGGTAAAGGACAGCAGGATAACAAAGTGACAGCAAAGATAAAGAGGGGCAGAGCTGTAAAGCTGAAGACAGAGTACACACATCAGAGGAAAGAACAAAAAAGTGGTTAGAACTGCAACAGAAGAAAAAAGGTGCTTTACTGCAAAGAAAGTAGACAAACCCCACAATCTGCATTTACCCAGGCTGTGTTTTGCCAAGACCAAAGAAGTTCCCAGCATTTACTAGCTCAAGGACACCGCCTTTGGCTAGCTGTAGACTTCAGTTTTAACGTTTTAATTTCTCTCCACCTCCCTACAAGCAATACTAGACAGTCTTGTAACCAACAAGCTGCCTAGAAACAATCCAAATGGTATCAGCCTCAATGGTGAAATATTTCATTAATTTGTATTTTCTTTTCAAAGCAAAACATAATTCACTGTCACCGCACAGTCAGAGACAGATGCAGTGAGGGAGACACTGTTTCTTTGCCATCAAGACTGCAGAGTCAACGTGCAGCGTGTCTATGGCCCAGATACTGTGAATGGGATGTAAATCCAATAATGAGAAGTCTTTTTAAAGCTTAGGGCGGCAAGCCTCACTTCAGGAACTGCTCACCTGCTTTACGTGTGTCAGGAACAGCAGAAGCAGGACTAGTATCTCTTATTAGGTCTAAATTTGTTTCATCTCTTCCTTCTCTTTCTTCAGGAATAACCATGCTGGCCTTCTCTCTAAGGAACCACAAACAAAGAAACACTGAAAACTGCAATTATATGAAAAAAATAGATGAAAGGACTTTAATACCTTTAAATACCAGATGTAACATTAGACACAGTTTAATACTAATTGAAAACCTGATCAGAAATGCAGTTTACTAGGTTCTCCAGGTTGTTGGGCTAGATGCTATATTGTTATTTTCAATTTTTAGCACATTTTAGCGTGTTTTTTATATTTAGAACTTCTCAGGGCATATGAAACAAAGGAATTGATGACTAGGAATGGCAGTATAACCTGGTGAGCAGACGCTGTCAGGAACAATACTGTCATATACAGACTCAGAAAAGGCCAGGTTGGAACCTGGTCTAGTGGAAGATGTCCCTGCCCATGGCAGGGGTTTGGAACTCAATGAGCTTTAAGGTCCCTTCCAAACCAAACTAGTCTGGAATTCTGTGATTCTATGAAAAGTATTGTTTTGTTTCCCCAAATGACCTAAGTCATAAAAGACTTAGAAATATCTTACAAGAAATGTTACCTGTGGACAAAAAAAATTTACAGAAATTAAATTTATAGACAATTAGATAAATCGGGTGCTGTTTAGCTTTTCAAATTTAATATTAAAAAAATAAGAAATGAAATATCAGGTGCTTTGAAAAGGAAGGCTTTGACTTCTCATTAATTCTCATTGGGGAAGCTTTCAACATCTGAAAAGCAACTGAATTAAAAGTTATTTAAAGTCTTCACACAGTTATGAACTTCACTCTATTTAAGATATAAGCATATAAGGGAATTACATGAAACATTAATAACATAGGTAACAAAGGAATTTTGTTACCGAATGAGCTTTTCGAAGGCCTCCTTCTCTTTCCTCAGAGCTGTGAGGTAGCGCTGTTCTTCTGTTGAGCCCCCATATATGAGGAAATAAACTCTGTAGGTTTGGGGGAGGAAAAAAAGGATCACAAAACCTCCTATTAAGTTAGAAAACCCCACAATCAGTATTTAAGATTAGTAGCACTAAGTGCCTGACAAGGTAGTATTTGCTTTAAAAAAGGCAAGTGAAAAAACACTATCTTTTTCTGTAAAGAAATTCAAAAATCAGCCACAAAAATTCTTCTATCCAGTGTTTGCTCTTTTTCCAGTGGCAGATACATTCACTGGAATTCTGAGATTCAACCAGAGCAGGCTCAGGTTGCTGTCAGCCATTCAGTCAGCCAGTAGAATGAGGAGTTACTTTCTTATTGCTATTAAAATCTTCTCAGTAGAATACATGAAACAAAGTGGAAAAATCTGCAATCATCTGGGTTAGGAAAAACACCATCTAAGATTTTAAAATTCTGTATTGTATAAGGCAATCATAGGTTCTAGAAAAAACAAGCTGTCATCTAGCAGAGATGCAACATACCAGCAAACGATGTTTTATTTCACAAATAGGGATTTATATGGAACGTGTAAGAATTAATAATTAGGAATTAATTGCCTGTAGCTTTTCAGCACAGTCATTTTTTTCAATATATTTTCATTCAAGTACACTCTGACAGACTGATAGGATTTTATTCCTGTTACTTTTCTGATGCAGTGCATTTCCTAAGCCCTACTTGCATGACCACATCTGATTTTCCTGCTCTGAAGTGTGGGAATGTGATGCTGGAGGTAGATACAGCACATGCTGATCAGGCAACTAAAAACCAGTTGTACAAATAACCTCATACAATATGCTTGTGAGTTCTGCTCTTTCTATCTACACTAGAGAACCCTATCTAGTACCTGGGTATCAGGTACAGACACACTGAACCCTGCGAAACTGATGTCCATTTTCAGTTACAGTGCATATATACAAATATTTGACTGGGAAATTACAACTACTCTTTTAACTTGATGCAAATAATTTTCATGAGATGATTAAAGTATAAAGCATTTTAATTCAAAAGGTAGTAATTGCATATCAACTGTAGAAAGAAAAGTGTGTTTATTCTAAGAACTAAGAAATTGCTGTAAGTTATTTTCAGCAAGACAGAGGTGTAACTGCAGTTCACTGTATTCAAGAAATGCTGTATTAGGCAGCCATGGAAATGAAAGATAACATAAAAGCTCTTAGTATATTAAATCTTAAATTTTAAGTTTTCTACATTTTTAATTAGTCTGTAATATTTATCAATGAAATGAGTTGTACATATTACATGTGTATCAAATATATATACACACAGTGTGGAAATTTTGTCAGCTAACTCCAGAACCGAGTATAATGAAAATACTTCTCCTGTTCTTCAGAGCTGAGTATAACTACAAATCCTTCTCATGTTCTTTAGTGTGTTTTCCCTTCCTTGCTTTTCTGTTAAACTTTCTGAATTACTTTGGTCTTCAGCATGACCAGACATCAGGAAATGTGAAAATTAATTAAATCCAAAATGAAGCTTATTGTGTAAAAATCATTCCTACACAGATGGTTTAAAATGAGACTACAGCACCTCAAAATAGATCTACCGCCATTAAGATCATCTAAGCAGACATCTTGTAGAAGATGGAATGAACTGCTTTTTTCAGATATGTTTCTACTGTTAAGGGACTACCTGATGGGAAGTAAAAATTACCCTTTGGTTACCTCAGACATTATGCTGTTGTTTAGTAAGAAGGCTGAATAGGCACTAAAAGGTAGCTGAGGAAAATAAGTAGATGCACGGTCTGCCTTGACTGCTCAAAGTGCACTTTTTATTTTTAAGACTAAAATCACCCTGACCAGGTCAACTTACCTCAAAGGCTTTCCAGGCCTGCTGGCCTTGTAGATTTCCAACTGCCGAACAAAAGTCAGCTCTGCATCATATAGCACAACATATCTTGGTTCTACTTCATGCAGGACCCGAGTGAGTGCATAAGGATCACTGCAGCCCTGCAGCGGATGAATGATTGTGAGCGGGTTCTTGAAAATGCCGTAGTAACAATCTGAGGGTAAGTTCACATGGAAATCTTCAGGAATGTTCTCTTCCATACTGCTTTCTTGGCTACTGCTTAATTCTTTGCTATCTTCCTTCTCCACCTTCTCTCTCTTTTCCTCCTCAGTTTTCCCTATCATTTGGATTATAGTCCGGTCTTGCTGCTTCTTGGGTTTGCATTGTTTTGACGAAGCTGTGAGTTTGGCTTTTTTGGCTTTAGGCCCTCCATCTGGTCTGGCATTTCCTTTGGACTTGACAGCTTTTCTGTCCTGAATCCACACTTCTGCAGCTTTCTCATCCTTTCCAAAGGTTTTGTTATACAGTCTTGTTAAAAAAGCTTCTGCTCCAGCAATAATATACTCCCTGAGCTGTGCACAAGCTCGGTCATCACTGGCACAAATAAGCACTTGCCCTGCAGTCAAGAAACAATACCACATTTATAATCTGTTAAGCTGTACTGCTTATCCAGCTACAAGACACATCTTGAGCAAATGGTTTTTAATGATCTAGAAGCATGACTGCCAAATGTCTTTACGTTTGGTTGTCACAGTTTCTCTGGACTTTGAGGGAGTCTAATTTGCGTGGTGTTTTGTACCAAACAAGGTTAGAGAAGATGAATGTTAGTTCAACATTCCTTATTCTTGTATCATCTAAATTAGTGAGGTTTGCTTTCTGGGCACCTGAAAGGAGGCAGATAAAGCCTGAAACCTGCTCGGACAACGTTTTGTTTTAAATGCAGAACATGAGAGAACTTAATGCAGACTATTCTGATTTTGTCAGCTGTGTTAAAGAGTCTAAAAAAATACATGTTACACTCAGTACTATTGACATCTGTGGGCCTTGAATAACAATTTTCCACAAGCTGACTCAGATAAACTCCTACAACACTAGGTGAGAGAGCCAGTTCTTATCCAGAGTCAGAACACCGTGGGTGGGAGAAAAGAGCACTTTTTTACCCTTACTATTTCCTAAAATAAAACTTGGTGAAATTTAAGGGGATGAAAAGCCCTAAAATAGTAGCAGCAAAGCAGTTAGATGCATCATTGCCTTCTACTCTCTACCCCATTTAGGTGCATCTCCCAGAGAAGCAAATTTTCAGGTGCATGAGAAGAATGTCTGAGAAGAATTAGAAGATGTATGAGTGGAAAGGAAGTAAGACTGAACCCCTCGTTTTTTTTGAACCTGAACTTGAGAAATGAGCAAATGGTATCTTGATTATTTTAAGTTTACACATTATTCGGTTCGCTGGTTTTAAGACTAAAGTACCCGTACAACATTGTAATGTAAGTCAAAATAGTTTTTTATAATAATTTCATTTTCCTAAATAGTATTGCACAGTAACCAACAGCATTTCTTCTTTAGACCCAGACCTAGATAGATAAAAGTTTATGTAAAACTATTTAGTTTTACATAGTTTATATGCATAAGCTCCTTAAGTCCACAAATTTTACTGTATTGTGCAAACCTATGTCATTTAGTTAAACACATACAAACATCATTTAGTATTCTCTCACCTGGACCACCAAAGTCTTCACTGTTCTTATTCTCATTTTCAATCTCTTTCAGCACTTCTCTCAAAGCTTCCCATTTTGGGTTACTTTCTAGAACCAATTCCCTTTTTAATTCTGAAACAAAGAAAGATTGAACATAGCAGCTCTTACGGACAAAATTACAGACCAAAAAAATCAAAACTTTAAATTAGCGGTTAGATGTCAATAGCATGATGGAATAGCATGATGGTTGTTGGCAAATATGATATTCAACAGCCTACATATGCAACTTGTTATGCTAATGGGCTGGAGAGCACTCTTACAGAAACATTTAAAAATGGGGATAAGTGCTTTAGTGAAGCAAAATTTAAAGTATTAAATCATTCTTCAATTCTGAAACTCCTCAATATATGTATTTTTTTATGAAAGCAATGCCAGCCTCCTACTCATTCACATAAATCAAGCTAAACACCAATGTAGTACAGCAATTTCATAAAAGCTCTCCCAATGAGCAGCTTAGAAGAACCCTTTAATTATTTTTGTGACTCTGCTTTATGTTGTTTATTATATGCTTTTGAATTAAGATTATGTCTCAACTTATCCCAGCTAACAGATTGAGATCCTGAGCTGTGTAAGACCATGTAGAGAACCATAGCACCAGTAATAATATGCAAAGCATTTGGGATCGTGTGACACTCTCCAACTTAAAATTAGGAATGATCAGTACCATTTTCCTTCTTCACACCACTTTTTTCAGAGCCTTTGCCTTTCTCATGCAGTTTCTCATCTGCAATGCGATAAACTCTAGCTCGAGCTTTTACAAACATTGAAGTGCTGGAGTCAAGAAACAGCCAACCTAAACAGGAAAAGAAAGCAGTAGTAGCTTGACATTTGCAATGTGTACATGTTTCAGCCATTAAAAGCCTTGATCTGTCATCAGTAATACCTGTGCTACCTGTTTGCTGTGTAATTACTAGCTCAATAACAGACAAAAATGTGATGCAAATCTCACACTTTTAAGTAACAGCAGTTAAGTGGGAAGATGAAAGAATTATCTGTCAATAAAAACCTACGTCCTTATGGCTGGTTATGTAAAGCCTGATTAGATACCTTCATATGTTTGGGATGCTAATTAAAAATATCAACATTTCAATGTTTCATGCATTAACTTGTACGCTTATTCATTGTTTACCTGAATTCTCACCAAAAGCTTTTTCACTTGCTTTCAGTGACTCCAGAAGATTGAGAAAAGTGACACAATCGTACTGAGTTAGATACAGTAGCAAAGTACGTAGTATCTTCAAATCCTGGACTAAAGATTTTGTCTTAGCTCCAAGTTGGTGCCAAAGAGGATCTAAGTAGTGACGTATTGTCTAGAAATATAAATTAGAAAGTTCAGGATGGCAAATATTTAATATACTAACCAAGGTAAGAATGCAGTTCTTTTTCTCCTTTACAGGGGATGCCAATGGTTTCCCAGTTATTAAACTTACCCAACTGAAGATGTGATGGTGAAGTACTTGTTTTGATAAGCAATCATATCTTTGCAAAGTTAACATAATATAGATGCCTTTATGTAAGATATTTCATCAATTAGCAAATGTATATAATTTAATATTTTCCTTTCCATATCATAATAAAATACTGGTAAAATAACAAAAAACCCCAAACATTTTACTGGTACTGGTCTTTACTGGTACTAGATACTTTAGTATATAATATCCTTCACTTAAATAAAAAAATATAATGTCATTTAATTTTCAAGGTAAGATGAGTACTACACAGATACACAACCTACATTGCATAAGAAAAAAACCTCCAGATATTTGAAGTACAGGAGGCCCTAGGTCAAGATTAAATCACAGATAACACATAACCATGTTTCTGTGTAACTGTGATGGTTGAAGTTTATAATTTTACCCTACAGAAAGCATACACATGTGCCAAACATCACAGATCTGCCAAAGATAGCAATGCACACACATTTAATGACATACAGAATATGTGCATATTAAGTATTACATACAGTGCTTCTCCTACTAGACATTTTGAACTGAAATTGCAGCATCATAATAATAACAACAACAAGAATAATAATAATAAAAAAAAACCCCAACCAACCATGAATCAGGATTTTGGTACTGTAGGGACTTTGGAAATGATGGAAGAACAATAATATCAATACACAAAAACCCTACTGGCAACGGTAACATGATCATTACAGAGTAACCAGAGTATCTAGCCTGACCCGAGCAGTGATCTCGCCCTTCTGGGTAACTGCCCCCAGTTTATATACTGGGCATGATGTGCTGTGGTATGGAATACCCCTTTGGCTAGTTTGGGTCAGGTGTCCTGTCTCTGCTTCCTCCCGGCTTCCCCTGCTCCCTGGCAGAGCATGAGACTCAGAAAGTCCTTAGTCAGAGTAAACATTACTGATCAACAACTGAAAACATCGGTGTTATTAGCACTGTTCCGAGGCTGAAAGTCAAAACCACAGCACTGCACCAGCTATTAAGGACAAAAATGACTGCTACTGCTGAACCCAGGACAATCCCTTTGGTTAGACACACCAAAACAATCAAAAGAGTTACCTTATCAAAAGGTTTACCAATAGCATTTTCTAAAGACAAATCTTCTACTTCAAGAACTGGATTGTATCGTTTGAGTTCTCGCAGACATGCATTCAGAATATCGAGGATTGAAGTCTGGATAGCAAGCATAGCAGGGGTCATTGACACATGTATTTCCACCACTTCAGGTTTATGCTTCTCTAAAAATGAGTTCACTGCTATATGAAATCTAAGAGGAAAACAGCTAATTAATATTTACATGGATGGTTTGATCTGCAGTTATTCAAACTTTGTATAAACTACAATTACAATTGCTTTAAACATAAACAAATAAGCTAATTGCAAAATAATTCAGTTTCTACTGATGTGAAGGTTCAAACAGCCTTAGAAAGCCATCTATTCCACAACTATCTTTGTACTCATTCTTGTCATGTGAGCCTATAGTGCTGGTGAATGACCCATGGAAAACTACTGCACTAGATTCTAAATCATTACTACACAGAACAAAGTAAAGCCAAAAAAAACTCGTAAGGGAGAAACTGGAATGCATTCATAAAGCTTTTGGAATCACATGGATCCACAAGCAGAGTTTGTGACATTCTTAGCTACTGATCAGAAGCAGCAGGTCCTTGTTAGAACACTGCCTTTACAGCAAACCTGTCTGTACAGGTACTTAGGTACTAGCTGATCCTTAGTAACAGAATGAGGCTCAGAGAACACTGCATCTGTGGACCTCTGAATATCACTGGATGCTTCCCTTACTGCATCCTGCACCTCCCAGGTCTTTTCATGGTTCAGAAGCCAAGGCAGAAAATTTAGAAAGCTTCTATTGAACCTTTCCTATTCTAGTTACCTCCATTTCTACTTTGTGGTAATGAAAAAGACCACCGTTAAAGAGTTTACAATGCAGAATAACAGTACAGAGTGGAACATTCTAGTCTGGACTAAAGGAACAAACAGGCAGACCTCCTGTCCAAGGCAGGAGCATTGAACAGGTCCTGAAGCTGAAGGTCCATTTGTGGCTCTACTCCTGAAAGACTTTGTACATCACAAACCTGGCAATTTGGTTTCTATGAGTCATCATTAAACACTCTTCATATACAGCATGTATGTAGAAGATAAAAAAATCTGACATATAGAAAGAGAGCTCTGGAGTTTTACCAGTTGAAAACAAATATTCCAGGAATGGCAAAGCTGACAAGACTGTATTCATGGCTTAAATAACCTGTTCAATTAGTGAAGGTTTTCTTAAGCTATTAAGAATGTCTCTCTGCTGTGATTTCTGTCAGCTATAACAGCTATACCATAAAGTTCACCCCCTTACAGTTTCAATTTGGGTCTATCTTCAAAAATACTTAAAAAGATTTAGCATCTTTACGACCACTTCTTCTGTCAAAGACTGAAAGAAATTTGTTTGGGAACACAAGAGGAGCACAGCTTACCAGTGTGACTGCCTACATCTCATTTTCTTAGGAACCCACTGTAACATCATGAATTTCATTTTGAAATTTAACCCCCAGTGAAGAAGAGGTGCCTTACCTTGGCCACAGATAAAGTTTCTTGACAAAAAGATTTCTCATTACTCTTTCCACGTGGCAAAAGCCGGTGTTAAATGCAACTGCATTATCTGTGAAAGCTTTAATGAAACCGTGTTTGTTCTTCTGGCGATAAAGTCGCAAGATAAAGGCTTCCTGACAGGACTCAATTATTCTGTGTGCTTTGTATACTAAAATGCCTGGCAAAAGAAAAGGTTTTGAAGTTACAAAAAGTAAAGAAAGGTTCAATTTTGTATAGGTTTCCCATAAGACTCTTATTCTTTTTATTTTTTTCCCTTAAATAAAGTACAATAGGAATTTAAAGCTTCTACAGTGACTGAACAAGTTTTCCAAGTGATGCCTTAATTTCAATACCATGGCATCCCTGAGTAGCAAAACTGGGTTAATGATGCATCTTCAGGAATAAAACAAAACCAAAACAATGCTTGTGCCTGAGTGGCAGGACTTAGCCACTAAGACATAGCTTAGAAAATATTTACTTCTAAGGCAAAACTTGAACACAAGCCTTTTAAGAGGAGTAAAAGTTAATGCAAGACGTAATACATTATTACAACAACGCAACTTTGCTACGTTCAAGATTGTGGTATTTGAATGCTTTTATTCCGTTCTTTTATTCAGTTCTGGAATTACAGACTTGCCAAGTACATTCTACTGATAACAACTCAAGTGTTACAGCATCAAAGAACTTGTGAATAAAATTAATTTGCTTTCCCCTCCTTCTGCTGGTCATATTCACATTTCAGGACAAAAAATACCATCCACTGTAAGAGTACACCACTGGTTTTCTTCATTACTATGGGTGCATTAGAAAAAACAGATTTCTCATGCATGATTTAGTACAGAGAAGTGAAACAATAATTTAGCTACATTAAGTGTTTGAGGTGAATACTTCTGGGATTTACACCTCAGCCAAGACCTGTTAAAAACAAGGCTTATTTTCTCTCATGCTTGGCTGTGTTAAACAGCACATTTTTTCACTCTCCCTCTCATGAGGTGAAACCTATGTGGTACTTTTATCTCTTCACAGCTTCCAGTGGAATAATAAATGCCTTTCTAAAAAGGAAGCAAAGAACATCAAATATCACAGGTTTTACCTTGGGCCTACTTAAGCTGACAAACTTACAGTGCACTGACTTGCTATAACAAGTTTCTTCAACTCAGCACCAGCCATTGATTTTAATATGCCTTTGCTTTGTAAATGAAAAAGCATCAACTTCTGTATAACTGCTAGCCACTCATGATCAAATCATGGAATAACCTACTAAAAGGTATTTTTCTATCTATCTCTTCTATGAAGCAAATTTTTCAGGACATAAAGAACATACTCATTTCTGAACATCTTCATCTTCCAGTTTGTCAAGTTATGACTATGAAAGGACATTAAAGGAGATGCAGAATTTGTATCAGGCCAGGAAGAACACGTGTTTACCAGAATACCTTCCTTTTAGTCAATATATCTCTGCTTAGGAAGTTAGTTCATAGTGCTGCGTAAACCACTGATTACTACACCAACTTGCATGAGTTGGAGTACGCTATTAAGTACATAATTTCTGTTCGGCCAAACCCACCAGAAATAATTCTTCTTTGCTGCTGTGATAATTTATCTTCATTTAACTGAATTTATGTGTTCACTAGATATTAACTCACATGTAATTTTACACTGATTTTATGAACAACATTTATAACACCTACAAACACTTTTGAGGTGTTAACTCCTCAAGAAACATGATTACAGGGTTTTGTAAGTTTTGTTGTATAATATCACACACAGATAATACATATTTACAACAGGACCATGTGTTAACCAAGTGTGAAATGAAGCAGCAAGTCGATCAAAGCTGCTGTCACACTGACCTCCAGTGGCAACACAAAAACTATTAACAACTCTTTGCTGTCATTGGACAGGATATTTAAAATCTTTTGTGTATTTCTTTTCATACTGACAAAGTCTAAAGGTGTGGGTTTTTTTTCCTCCCCTTTTCTTTGGTAGGGAAGAAAGGTAGAGAGGAAGGCGTCAAGGGGAAGAGGAGAAATTGTAGATTGCCCAGAAAATATGTTCACTTTTTCTTTTTAACCTAGAAATACCAGAATTAACAAACCTGGTGTCCTTCGGCTCTAGCATAAAATGTTCAAAATGTTTTATAGATTAGAGCTTGTCATACACTGACTAAAAGGAAAGGAGTACAGCTTCTGTAGCACACGCATTCTTCTAAGCATCCAATATTCAGTTACGTTTAACCATTAGGATGTTAACATTTGGATAACAATAAAACATTATTATATTCCTGTCTCTTAGATATCTACTTTACTAGCTCTCTGGGCTGTAACAGGGTTTCTGGCTTAGAAAGGGACAAAAAGCAACAGAGGCTGGGGAAGAAAGAGAACAGAACATGAGAGGAGAAAGATAACTGTAATATTTTTCATGTGTAACTTCTATATTACTAAAAAGGTCACAAGATAGTCCCAAAATCTTTATCATGACAGCAGCATTACTTCATAATACTGCTGCTTAGATAGTGTTCAAGGTGTGCCAAGACAAAGATTAGTGACATATTGCCATTTTTTGATGGGGAAAATAATCAGGAGTGATTTGTTAATGCAAAAAATACATAGTGTGCATGGTTGATAAAACGTGACATCTAAAAATCTGCTTTAATCATGGGCCAGTGTCCTATAGACCACAGGACACTATTTCACCAAGTGCAATCAACTACTCTTCTTGAAACCACTCTGAATTTTGTTTCTTATGTCACTGGCATAATTTAACTGATATGTTTTCCAGCACCTTATTGATACTGGAAAGCCATCCAAATGCATGACCCAGTATCTAAAAATGGTGTGGATATTTTCAAATTAAATGATTTAATAAGGCAAACGAGTTTGGAGCAAAGAAAACCACTTAAAAAAGTAATGAAAGG